GTGAGAAATAAAAAAAAAAAAAAAAAAAAAAAAGGTTGTGGAAAAAGACCTGGATCCGTTTTTTTCTGGAGCGTTGTGCAGAATCGAAACGGGGGCCATTATGATGAAACAAAATGCCTTTATCAGTTAAGATGTTTGGAAGAAATGGGGACAGGACGACGTCATAGAAAAGTAATCTCAAAATTAGTTTTTAACCATTAAAGAGTAAAGAAAGTTTAAAATCTTATATTAATTGGAGAGAATCTACGTACGTGCACCCTCAAGAGCGCTTCTACGGTTCTACTATATGCACCAGGGAACAAATTGTTTGAAAATAATATTATTTTATTAAATAGTTTATTTTATAATAATTTTTAATAAGTATTCAATAATTTTAAACTTTGTTATATTTAACTTTAGAAACTTATAATTGCATAAATATCTCTGGAATAATAATAAATAAAAAGTAAAAAGAATTTTATTAAAATTACAGATGATGTGCCATGTTAGTTTTCATTGTTGTCGATCACATGTCAAAAGTAGTCAATGTTCCTCCTTCGCATGATATCGGTGGAATTTTACAGGCATAGATTAGGTGACGGAATCGAAGGTCGTCAGTGGCGACTTTGGTAGCAAAAGAATCATCTGGGAAGAGGAGGTTACAGAGGAAGACATCATACTCAAGGAGGACGACAACAATTGAAGTTGCATTTCAAGAGTGACAAGGAGATGGCAAAGGAGATGCCCTCATCCAAGACCAAAGAGGATAGGATTTTGTAGATGTAGTAGAGGAGGTGGTTCGACGGGACCTATTGCCTCGTGAACCACATCTTGAATATGGTTGAGGTGACAGTGTTGATGGTGAAGAGATATTATATATGTAATATCATATTATATTATTAAATATATAATTTAGAATTAATAATATATTATAAAAGTTATTTAAGTTGCGTATATTATAGATAAATATATTAAAATAAGCAGTTATTTTTATGCTTAATAAGACTTTTTGCTCTTCTATTAACAAATTTAATTCTCATTGTTATTTTTGTGATTTGTGGTCCTTTAAAAAAAATTGTGGTTGAACCGGTTTGACCTACCGGTTCACTGGTCGAACTGAAAAATTGACCTGTTCAATCCGGTTTAAAACGGGTCAAATGCATAACCGATCCAACTTAAGATTCAGACCGGTTAGACCATCGATTCTCAGTCTAACCGGTCCGACCGGCCAGTCCAATCCAGGTTTTTAAACAATGGTTGAGACCATCGACGACAATGGTAGAGGTTAGTTGGGACAAGGAGATTAAGGAAATGTGTTCAAGGCGATCAGAGATGAAAGGTTAAAGATGGATGGTGGTGGCATGTCCACATTAAACGAAGGAAAAAGAAAATAAAAATGGAAGGACATAATTGTAATAAATATACTCCACAACATCTCAGTATTTCATTTTAAAATAATAAATTTACTATTTATATTAATTTGAAATATATGAACCACTTGAGAAAATACCTTTATTTAAGGACTCATGGATGAGATACCTACTATAAGGTGCTTCATGTTAGAATTTTTCATATTCTCAATTTAAGTGACTCATTCCTTAAACACTTTTTTTAAGCATGTAGTTCATGTATTATTGAGTAATCTTTAACTATGTATTTTAAAAAAATAATTGGTTGAGGTTTACATCTAGTTATTACAATTTTTTTTTACTAAAATAGCTATTTTAAATATAAATTAAATTATTTTAGGTTATTGAATATGAATTTTACTCTTAGAAAGCGTTTGCTAAGAGAGAAAATTTTTATACCAAAAAATCATTATTCTCGAAAATTACAAACTCTAAGAAATGATTATGGTAATGATTAAAATATGTTTGGTTACTTATAAAGATTTCTAAAAATATTAATATAAGATTTGAGAAATAAAGATTCTTATATGTTTAGTTACAATATTACTATTTTAACTATATTTTACAAAAAAAATTGAGTGTTTTCATCATTGTAAGGTGTAATTGTGTCATAATCTAACAAAAATATCAAATTTAACTTGAAATAACAAATCAATATTTACATGTGATTAAACTTTATGCAAAATAATAGTAAATCAATATGTTAAATATTATTTTCATGGTTTATCATAATAAGAAAATAAAAGGTTAAATTAACATTCAAAATAACAATTAGAATTAAACTATAAGCAAAGTAGAAACAATAGAAGAAAAAAAACATCTATGGTGTTATTTTTCTTAAAAAATTTGTCAAATTTAGAAGTTAAAATCATAATAAGAAATTAATAATGTAATTTTATAATTTATAAATTTTAAATAACTATGAAATTATATATTGAATGAAAAGTATATAATTATTTACTTTTTGTAGTATTAGATTAACGAGAAAAGTGATAAATAAAAAAACAAATAGTAATATTCCTACTTAATAACAATAAAATATTTTTTAATTAAAAGCACAATAAAATAATTTATTAAAATTTATACATGAAACATTGCAATAATTTTTTTTTCTTAAAACAAATAATTAAAAATGATAAAAAAATAATATGCCTAATGAATTATTCAATTTAATTTATATTTTAACTAGTTAATAAAATTAATGTATTTTTGTATTTATTGTTCAAGTGATAATGAATAAAAATATTATTAATTAAGTTTTTTTATTTTAAAAAAAAGATATTATGATTATAT